TTTGGTTGTCATTTCCTATCCAAAGATTTAAGAATTTTTACATTTAACTCATCAATATCATAAATCTTACCTAACCCAGTGAGATGATTCACAATATGTGTGAAATGCTTTTGAACGTCAAAAATCGTTTCTCCTTGTTGCATCCGGAACATCTCATATTCTTGAATCAATGAGTTCTTTCTTGCTCTTTTAACATCATCGGTACCTTCGTGGGCTACTCTTAACATTTTCCACATTTCTTGAGCACTCTTACCAACAGATATCCTGTAAAACTCATCAAGGGTTAAAGCAGATGAAATTATATTTCTAGCCCTAACATCATATTGGGCTTTTCTAATATCTTTAGCCGACCATCTAGAAAATGGTTTTGGTATCTCTTCTCCATTTTCAGTAATTTTAGGAATAAACGGACCGTTTAAAATTGCATCTCATACACCCCTATCAACAGACTCCAAAAATATTTGTATTCTAACTTCCAAAAAGGATAATTTTGCCCGGCAAAAAGTGGAGGTCTATTGATAGAATCACCCTCGGCAAATGTTTGGTTTTGTCCGGCCATTTTTGAAATATTTTTGAAATTTGAATGACTATCAAAGCAAGATCTGATACCACTTGTTAGCATCGCGCAGCGGAATGTTTGCGTTTACGGACAAAAACCAAGAGGGGGGTGAATTGGTTTCTTAAACAAAAATTAGGGTTTTAAAATTTTTCCCAAATTTCTCCGATTAAAATGCTTTGTGAAGTAAATAGATAAGGGAAAGAAGATTACACAGTTTATTTATACTATTCGGATCAAAAGACCCTACGTCCAGTTGCTAATCACTCAAAAAGAGGATTAACGTTATCATTATAATTACAGTTTACAAACAGATTACAAATTGAAAAGATAAGAAATAGAAAACACCTCTCTTGAGTCACACAAGAGATGAACACCTCCTTTGAATCCACAAAGGATGAACAACAGATTTTCCTAGAGACGTCACAACACACAATCCACCAAGAAACTCACTCAGTGATTCTTATCGCTTCTAGCCCACACTAGGTTTTCAAAAGTCCCTTTTTCTTCCCTATAGAAAGTTCTCGCAGTCACAGCTCTTAACTTTTGTATGAAAAAGGTTTGTTGATTTGTAGAGAGCCTTAGAGAACCTTAAGTAGAGAGAATAGGGTGTGGGAATTGATGATTTTAGAAAACATAAAAATTGGGAATAGGATTTTCATAAATTGGTCCAGATTTGAATTTCAAAACTCATAACAAACGTAGATAATCAATTATCTTGAGTGATAATCGATTATTACAGAGCCATTTTCGTAGAATAAAACAGAACCAGGATAATCGATTATCTGTGTGAATAATTGATTATCTGGTTGGGATAATTGATTATCCTGAGTGATAATCGATTATCACAGCAAGCTTTTCAGAAAAATGATTTTCAATGCAGGATAATCGATTATTCTGAGTTATAATCGATTATCACATAGTGGATTTGATAAAAATGAGTTTTTAGATGATGGATTATGTGCTGGTTATCTTAAACTCTAATTTTACAGACTCAAAAACATAAAATAGAGTTATTACAAGTAAATACATATGATTACAAGTCTTCAAGTCTCTAAGTCCTTTATTCTTGAATCATCATCAAAATCTTCAAGTTTCATATCCTTGTATGTTTAACAAATTATCTTTATGCTTATCAATGTTTGTATGTAACACCTTCATTTATTCAAGTTGTCTATATTTTGATCTCAATTCCTAATTTTTTGTTCTTAATTGATTCCAAACCTTACATCTTTTTGTGTCAATTCTATTTGGAATCTTATCATTTGGTATAAGTTTTCAAGGAAGAAGCTATTGCTTTTGGGAGTGCGAATAACGTGGAGGGAGTAAGGTTTTCGCTTTTTTAAAATATGCTCACGGGCTCCCCCAAAATTTTGATTTTTTTATATATATAACTATAAAAAATTTAAATTTAAATAATAAACAATATTTTTATTTTTATTTTTTTATAAAAAATAATTATTATTATAATTTAGATTTAGATTTTTTTCTTTTTCATTCTTTTATTTTCATTTTTTTATTTTTTCTCTCTCCCACCTTTACTTTTTTTCACTTCAACTTCAAATATTCATCATTTTATTTTCATATTTCTACTTTTTTTTATCATTATTTCACTTGCATAATTTTCTTTTTTTCATTTTCACCTTAAAAGATAAAAATTGTAAGTTCTTTTTTAGTTTTCCCATTTTCCTTAGAATAAACATTTTATTATTATTTTTATTTATTATTATAGCACATTAGCATATATATTATCTTTTATTAATTAATTAGTTATTTTAATATTTTATAAATATTAAAATAAAAATATGTAAAAAAAACTAGATTAAGTTTTAGAAATGTTTAAGAAAAAATTAATAAATTCATTTTTCAAAAGAAAAAAAAGATTTAAGATAAAATAAATTTTAGTTTTTCAAATTTAAATTCAACAAGTAATATTAAAAATATTGTTAAGTAATTTATTATCTAAATTATATAATAATTAATGATTTTCATAATATGAAATATCGTTAAACATAATTAAAATGTATTTAATTTTATATATATTTGTTTTATGATGTTAAATATATGTGAATAATTTTTAATTTTTAATAATTTTATATAATATATTTGATTTTATACCAAAATTAATTTTAGTGTACCTACATTATTAATAAAAAATTTGGTTCTCCAATCACAAATATTGTAGTGTTTCACCTAGAGTTTTCAGTAGACAAGCCCAAACTTTCATTAAAATGAAACTTTTAATATAAATGCATCTTAAGCCACATCATTCAAGTACCTAATTCTCCACCTCTATATTTATCTAAAAAAGACAATATTATTTTACTGCAAAATAGGTTTCAGATGTATTTTTTAAAAAAATTTATAAGTATTTTGGATTAAAGTTCAATCTAAAATACTTTTATAAAGTTTACGAATGAGTAAATCTAGAACTTAAATCTTACATGTGAAATTTTTTTTTTAGATTTAACTTTTCAAAACTTTTAAAATTAACCTTTTCATAATGATAAAATTATATTTTAGATTTTATAATTTGAAACTTAAAAAAAAAATTATATATGTTTTTTTTTATCTATTCATCAAAAACTTTTTCAAAATTGGCTTCCAGATTACTAGTTCCATAAACTAACAAAGCTATTATCGATGAGAAGAGAGATATAAATGGATAAATTTTTTTAAAAAGGTGCATTAGTAAAATGTTGGGTGCGTATAGTATCACTACTTTATATATAATGAGCCAACTAAAAAAGATTATAAACAAAAATATCAGTTTCCTTTTAATAAGAGAATGTTCTTTTTAATGAAATTCTTGAAAAACTAGTTCGGTTTTAATTACAACAAATAAACCTAAATAAAATAGAAGAAAATAAAAAATGTTATAGTAAAAGTGGTATTTTCAATTAGTATCTATATATACAGAAAAAAATGTAAAAAAAAAATCAAATATTTTATTAAATAATTTATATTATATGTATACATAGTTAATATATCTTCAACTAACTTTTATGAGATTGAATTAATTATTAAACTTAAACTAGATCAAATTATATATAATATATTCTTTACCTAAGAAATTAATTTAAGTTATGCTAAAGTGACTTGGTATGTGACAATGACAAAATTTGAAGAGGTTTGGTTATGTGAATGTGATTACCGACGTTTTTATATGATAGAGGATAAGATTCTATGACGTTGGCTTAATGGGTGTGACAATGCTGAAAACACGTTATGACTCTTTCCTTTTTATACAAAGTTGTGCAAAATTAGAAGTAAAATAAAATAATTAATTAAAAAATTTAGCTAAAAACTAAGTATGAAACTTTATCCTTAAATTATTATTATGTTAATTCCTTTTATATATATATATATATATATATATATATATATATATATATATATATATATATATATATATATATATATATATATATTTACGAGGAGTCCACGATTCAAATTTGAAAAAGAAGAACGGAAGTTATAAACAGAATTAAAATCTTTGTTGTTGATATTGACCAAACTGATACTTCAATAGCAAGTAATTGACTTGAAATTTTGTAGTATTAAACACTAATTTGATGTGGTAAAATCCGTAGTGGATGGGATAATTGACCACATTTATTCGTGGCAAAAATAAATACCCAAATGAAATACAACTTTAAATTCTTAACAAACAATTTCAAAATAACACAAAGAAAAAACTAACTTTCTTTAATGAAAAACATCAAAATAATTTAAATCTATCATACTTTTTATGTCAATTTTTTTATATAAATAGATATTTAAAAACGTATCCAAACATGTTAAGAAGTTTGTGGACTTTCTGACCATGTAAACCTCGTTTTAAATGCTTCAAAAATAAAAAATCTTCATGTATAAAAGACCATCAATTTAGTCTTCAAGAAAATAAAAATAATTTAATCTCTAAATATGTAAAAAGAATAAATTAATTTTTATTATGTAGTCTGATAACAAAATAATCCTTAGTTTAATATCAAATTGATCCTTAAAATTACATTTTAAGGACAAAAATCCTTCCTATAAAACATAATACAACAGAAATACAACAGAATACTTGCTTCTGAGACTTTCTTTCAAGATTAAATTGATCATTTATGGAATTCATAAATTTGAAAGAAACAGATAGAGATATCAACATTGTTAAGGTGTCAAAGATATCAACATCACAAGGAATTTATGTACAATTTAGACATGCATTAATAGCATTACAAGTAACTACAACCTAAATTGTTCAGTGCTATAGTGAGTGTGGAATTCCATAATCCAACCACCCCACCAAGCCATTATTCTAAAACACCTTCCCCAGAGATCCTTAAATGGTTCATGACATAGAACACAGAATGTACAAGAACATAAATTTAAGAAAAAGAACATAAATAACTTCGGGGAAGGAGAGTTCAAAGCAGCCTGACATAATAAAATAAAATCACTTCCTACCCAGCCGTACCAAATGCTGCTGATGTTTTGCTTCAGCTGCCTTATCAGCAGCTTCCCTTTTCAGTGCCCTCTTCGCCCTTCTGCCTGTGGTACTTTTGGCAACCTCTTTCTTCTTTGGCTCACGCGATGAACTGGCTCCTGAATCCTGGAAATTTGAACGATGAACCGGCCGAGCTTCTTGACGACCAGCCCTAACATAACCGTTATCTCCCCATCTGCGGTTGCCAATACGAAAACTAGATGAACCACCATAATAAACTTCATCTATTTCATCATTGTCATCCTCAAACTGATAGTAATCTTCTAGGTCTTCATATGAATCTTCATGAACATGTTCTTCAACAGATAAAGGATTGAACCATGAGGCTCGAAGTAGCAGACAAACACTCTCCTCAAACATGAAATCTTGAATGCTGCCAGCGTAAAATGTAAGAACATCGAATAGCTTGGAATGATTGTCAAATGTAATGCAACAATTTACCTTTTGAATGTTCATTCTGCCATTATATGTTAAAAAAATTAAGTAGGTGCAGAAACTACATGATTTTGGCATTTTGTTACACCCTAATCTTGAGTAATTGGAAGTTTCTATAGTAAGAGATGGTAGTGTCTTATGAAACATAACCAAAGGAGCTGAAAAGTTTTGACACATGTAAAACTGTCAATTGTTTAAAAAGAAGATTGCTAATATCTCCAACCATAATATCTGTATTTAGAGTCCAAACCAATTTAGACTGTAATTACATTAAATTTAAAACCTAGAAAGTCAATCTGCCACAAAAGTGTTTAGGTGCCAGGAAAGAATGAGAACAGAGCATTCTAACTCAACCAGATAAAATTAGAGGTTCCATTTTCAATATTCAACAACACTTTGCAGTTGACTAGCAAAACTGAAAATCTAGTTATTAATAGACCTGATTCATCAACCGGTTGCTGCAGCTGATTGCATACAACAAATATATGAATGAATCCTCTGATGATGAGTTTTCACAACCTTGTCAAGTAGAACTATAGTGTCTATCTCTCTCTTCCAGGCATTAAATAAGTGGGGTCTAGACAAAATTTGCAAATATTTAGGCTTATTTATATATTTTGCCCTCTAAGTCGCACAATCCCGCAAACTTAGCTCCCCAATTTACAAAATACCTCGAATTTTGCCTTGGCATCAAGTTTCTTTAAGTGTCAAATGACATGAACACTTTTGCAATTCAAAACCACTAGCAAACAAACATTTAAAAAATAGTTTAAAATATAATCGTCACTACCAATATGTTATATTTTCTTTGAGGAGGGGCAGAGGGCGGGTAAAACTAAACAATAGATACAATTACAAACAACAGCTATGACGCAAGCAATTATTTTAAATTCATGTGTTCATTAGCAGTCAAAACTAAGTTTCCACACTGTTTGAGATTTTAATAGACTTGACTGGGACAAAATTCAAGACATTTTGTAAATTTGGGAGCAAAAATTTGTGAACAATGTTCTTTAGGAATAATATGTGATATTGTGTAAACTTGAGGGCTAAAGGTGATATTTGTCGAGACGATTCACTCCCATACAAAACTAAAATGACTTCTTTCCATCACATTTTTAACATATAGTGTAACTAAATTAGTGCTAAACTAGTGCTAGAGATATGATTTAATTACATTAAACAAGAAGATATGATATGATTTGATAGGAAAATATCTTACCAAATATTTCCCATTATTAGATATAAGAATAATAACAATACTCGTACATAAGAAACAAAATTCATCATATTTTCTCTTCTCAACATGGTACCACAACACTACCATCCTCCAAGACCATAATCCTTTCAACAATTAGAAATAATAAAAGCAAAAGATATAATAATTACCTTCCATCAAGTGAGCGATGAACATTGAGGAACTCAAATGGATGTTTACACTGAGGGCAGGTAACTTTTTCACGGTAGGTAGCCCAACGAAGAATGCATGTTACACTGCACAAAATCATGTAAAACCGTCACCAAAAATATACCGAACATACATCACAAAATAATAATAATAATAATAATAATAATAATAATAATAATAATAATAAAAGATATCTAAATTTCACAAGCTAGAACAGTCAATGCGGATTTAGAGTACCAGCCAACTCAACAAATTTACAACAGAACATTGCTTATTGAAATGAATAAATACCAAAAAGTTTAAAAAACTCTTTCAGGGATCAAAATAAGTAATTACATACCCTATATTACCAAATATGATGGGTAAGAGTAGTATAAAAGAATTTAGAACAGAGATCATTACACAACAGTAATGTTCTTAAGTGCAAAAAAGAGTTACTTGATAAAATGATTTCCGCCAGAAACCAAAGCTATCTTTTTCGTGGGGTATGTAAAGTTTAAGGGAGATTCTTTCCCCAACCATTAACAGAAGCCTGACCGAGGCAGTCAACAAACATTAATAATCCATGACAACAATATCCAACTGAGCACTTATTTTCCATTGCTGAGAAGGAAAGTGGATGGAGCGATAACTAGAAAATACTACCAAGTCAAAATAGAACAATTTTTTCTACACTGTGGACCGGTAATTTGCAAAAAAGGTATAATACATTCACAACAACAGGGCACAAATGCAATTAAAAAATTAAAAAAAGATATAATAACAGCATAGTCTAGATTTTGGACCTATACTTTTTTCAATCTCAGTGACACAGTACCAATCTAACCACATATATTTCATGCAGCGCAAATTCCAGTCTATTCATTTAAAGGAAACATAAGATCCCAAATAATTCTTGCCTCCATCTTGTGAATCTGATATTCCATATTTACACTTTCAATTGGATCAAGTTATAAAGCACTACCAATCACTTGACTCCAATCTTTCAATTGAACGTGATAAGTATTATCGTTGATCAACTAACTGAGAGAACTTGAATAGATAAGATATGATTGAATGTAGATTATGAAGAATTCATCTCATCCATGAATGTAAATAAAACAACTGAAAATGTGCTAAAGCAACCCCAAAAAGAAGAAGATTAAGTATCAATTCCAATTTTTAAATCATAGTAACAGTAACAAAATTTGCAACCTAAGTGTCAAACCAGCCGACACTTGTGAACATGATGACATTATCAAAATCTATAGTACCAAGTGGTCATGAGTTCAAATTCAATCTACCTAATCCCCCTTCTTCTAAATAAAGGTTGAAATTGGCACAAATTAAAACTATGTCTGTACATTCTCCACATTTAAAACCCAAAGTGCTACCCAATTTTGAGCTTTTAAGAGTGTTACTACCTGAGACTAATCATCCCAATCACAGAGATTTCAGCCCTGGCAACCATCTAAGAGAAATAATTAGGTAAAAAGATCATGCAACCCGAAAGACTTAATGTAGACATTATACTGGATGTAGAAATATGTTTTATATCTAACTCTTCACATACTACAGAACTAGGATGTATGCTGATCAAGTCGAGGCCAAGTTGAGGACATCCTGACCAAAGTCAAGCAAAGCATGTCCCATCCAAGGCTAACTTAACAACAAATTGACCATGGTGCGACCAAAGAGGCACTTTGCAAATCGAGTGAACATGTCCAAGCTGAATCCAACAAAAAATTTCTGGACCAAACTATTTAGTTTTAGGATTAACATTGATTCTGGATTATTTAAAATCCCAAAACATATCCAATTCAAATCAAATTAATTGGAGAGGATTTAAAATTCAAAAAAAATGGATTTGAATTTTTAGCACATACATTAAAATAGACTTAAAGTAATTCGGATCAGAATCTGGATTGGATTTGGATATTTTGCACACCCCTAATTTACATACCAAATGTAATATATCAGCAACTTGCCCTTGCCTTCTAGTCTCAAATCTCAAGCATAAAAGATAACACTAAAGATGTCCAAACAGAATTAAACGATCATTGAAGCTCAGACATTATCCTTCCCCAATTAAATAAATTGGTCCTACATCGTCAGGTTAAACACAAATAACATACAAAGAACAAAAATTTAGAGGGATTTTTTTCTATTGGAAAGTCGCACCAATCCTTCTCCTTAGAACAGCAATTAGAACTTAAAACTCCAAACAATGCAAAAGCAATTGGAAAATGAATAAAACATGCATAAAGATCATGATGAAGAAAGCACATTTTCGACAAACTTAATTCTGAAAGCAACAGCAAGAGATCGTTCAGACAAACCAGTAAGCATGCTCGCAACCTTTTACAAGAGCAGTTTCCTGCAGCACTATTTTATCCAAGCAAATGGCACAGATTCCCCCATGGCTTCCAAAACCAACCTCGTGAATCTCAGCCTCACTCCCTTTCTCACTCTGAACATCAACAACATGGAAAAAAAAAACATGAAATCATCAAAAGAAACATCATTTCTAACATTTCCAGCCCCAGAAAATATAAATAAAATAAATATGAGCAATAGATTAAAAACAAATCAGACCCACCAAGAACGTCGATTTGAAACTTCAACAAGAAAACACAAAGAGACCCCAAAATCCAAACAAACCAGAAATTCAACACATAGATTGAACAAAAATAAGACATACCCTCTACAAATAAGGAAGAAATATACGCATACCCATAGGCTAGAAAGAAGGGGAAAATACCAGATCTTTGATTGAAAGGTCCAGAATCTCGTTGATGAGGACCTGTTCGCCTTGGATCTTCTCGAGTGAGGAAGTCATAGTGACAGATTCACAAGGACGGTATAGAAAAAAAAGTATAGTGGTGTGTGCGAAAACGCAGAACCATACAACAGAAGAACCTGAAGAAGGGAAATCAAGAGATATAGAAGGAGGAGAGAGAGAGAGGAGGAAAAAGAGAGAGATGCTGAAGAATGATTCTCTGATGCCAAAGGGACGAAGGAAACAGTAATGATTGAAACTTTACACGAAAATCTTAATTCCAAATTCCATGTTTTTAAACTCAATGCATTGGGAAAATTTCACTCAGTATATTTTTATATAATTTTTCATAATTAATCTAGTTGACCAGTTTTAATGATCTCTGACTTATTAATAATTTTTTTTTTCATTTATAAAATTGAAACCAATCTTTGTTTTTAGGATTCAAACACTAAAACTAGGGATTTAAAAAAATTTATTAAAAATATATTCAAACAAACTTCTTTATAAAATATTGGTTCACTCTAATATAATTTGTTTTTATTTTTGGATATAGAATTTAATTTTTTATATACGTTAGAACTCCAAAATAATTAAAAACTAGTATTAGTATAATTTTTAAAATTATTTATTGTAATAAAAAACATAATATATATAACACTTTGTAATTGAATAATAATGATATATATATATATATATATATATATATATATATATATCATTCAAAAATATTTCTATGTAATAAAAAAATTGCTATTTTATTTTTTTAATCTTTCTTAAGTGTATTAGTAATTAGAATTTATTATAATAATTACAATTTTTAATTTGAAAACGAGTGAATTGTTAATTAATTTACTTTTATATATATATATATATATATATATATATATATCATTCAAAAATATTTCTATGTAATAAAAAAAATTGCTATTTTATTTTTTTAATCTTTCTTAAGTGTATTAGTAATTAGAATTTATTATAATAATTACAATTTTTAATTTGAAAACGAGTGAATTGTTAATTAATTTACTTTTATTAATACAATAGTTAATAAATTGTTAGTAATAAATTAATCTTATCTCTTAGTTTAATATTATGAATTATTAAAATTTGTTTTTTCTTTCTTCAGAAGAATCGAATAAGAAATATATAATTCTGTAATTTACTAATTTTATTTAATCTAATTTGTATGGTCATGAATTGTGTAGAGAACCTCAGACTCCTGAGCACGTGCCATCTGGACCCTAAAAGCTAAAGACACGTGTGCTACTTCCTTTTCACCAAGGAAAAATCTACCGTTCTCGTGTTCTAATTTCTTGATAATAAATAATATATTTATTAATTATATGTGAAAATACAGTAAATAGAGATTTATTAATATATTTTCTTACAATGTTTTGATAATGTAATAATATATTTATTAATTATATGTCTTTTAAACATCATATTCAAAAATGAAAAATTTGTGAAAAGATAAGTGCCTTATTTTGGTGTTTATTTTTTTTATTATGAAAGGAGTATAATGTTTATTTTGTAAAACACATCAAAATCATTCCATTTTCTTTCTTTTATTGCTTTAGTACTTGAGAAATAATTTAAGAGAGAAAAATAGTTTCTCCTTTTAGGTTTTCTTAGAGTTATTTTTTCTTTGCTTTTACGAGAAAATTAATTTTTTCTTTTAGGTTCTTTTGTCTGATATCTAAAACTGATATCAGAGCCATTAGGTTGTGATATTGGTCTTCTGCTGCATAGTCATTAGAATAATGTTGGAGAAAATTCTTAGTATGCTCTATGGTTGCGGTTAATCTGATCTTCCACCTCAGAAAAGAGTTATTCTTGTTACTGGATATTATTTGGTAGTGCATGTTTAGGAAAAGTTATAAGAAGGAAAAAATTAGTATTTAAGTGTGTTCATTAGTGACTCACCTCTCTTTCCTGAGAACTTACCTGATGTACTTGTTTACGGTCTACCGTTGTTGTTCTAGTAGGCAATACTATTCATAGTGAGGATTGCATAAGTCGATTTGGAACCATGACAATAAAATATGAGATAGAGAAGTTTAATTGGAGTAATTTCTCATTGTGGAAATTGAAGATAAAAGCAATTTTGAGGAAGGACAATTGTATTGATGCAATTACGGAAAGAACCATGGAATACACGGATGAGCGACGATGGAAAGAAATGAACGATAATGCTATTGCGAATTTGCACTTATCAGTGGCAGATTCAGTTTTATCCAGTGTTGCAGAGAAGACTACTACGAATGAGATTTGAGATACCCTCATTAAACTATATGAGGTGAAGTCACTTCACATAAGAATATTCTTGAAGAGAAAACTCTATACTCTTTGGATGAGTGAGTCTACATCAGTGACGAACCACATCAACCACTAGAATATCTTGTTTGCCCAATTATCAACGACAGATTACAACATAGTTAAAAATGAACATGCAGAGCTTCTACTTCAAAGTTTACCTGATTCATATGATCAACTCATCATCAATATTACAAATAATAATATTGGTGGGAATATGCACTTTGAGGATGTCGTCGGAGCTATTATTGAAGAAGAATCCAAGCGGATGAGTAAGGGCAAAAGTTCCAAACGAGCAGAGAATTTGATAATGATGAGAGGAATATCAATGGAATGTAACTCGAGTAATGATAGATCGAGGTCTCGAAATAAGAAGAGTTCTAAAATCCAATGTTACTTTTGTGGCAAGAAAGGGCATTCGAGAAAAGAGTGTTGGAAGAAGAAGAATGGAGGAAACAACTCTAAAGAATCAACCTAACAAGGTTGTGTTGTAAGTACCTCAGAAGATGGAGATATTCTGGTGAGTGAAGCAGTAATTAGCTCTAATGGTGAAAAGAAGTTTCATGACAAGTAGATAATGGATTCCAGTGCAACATGTCACATGACTCCGCATCGAGATTGGTTTTACACTTATGAACTATTCTCAGGTGAATCCGTATTCATGGGAAACAACCATGCATTGGAGATTACCGAAGTTGGTACCGTCAAAATTAAAATGTATGATGATACTGTTTGCACAATTCAAGGGGTATGACATGTGAAGGACTTAAAGAAGAATTTATTGTCCATTGGGCAATTAGATGACCCCGGGTGTAAGATCCATGTTGAACGTGGAATCTTGAAGGTGGTGAAGGGGAGTTTGGTGGTCATGAAGGCAAAGAAGATCATAGCAAATTTGTATGTGCTGCTTGGAGATACGTTGCAAGAAGCGGATGCATCAGTTGCGGCAACAAGTCAAGAAGATGCAGTGATCATGTGGCATCATAGACTTGGTCATATATTAGAAAGTGGTCTAAAAATTCTTGCAGAACGTAATCTCTTACTCAGGCTTAAAGAGGTTAGTTTACCCTTCTACGAGCACTGTGTGATAAGCAAGCAACATAGATTGAAGTTTGCTAGAGTGACTGCTACAAGTAAACATATATTGGACTTGATTCATTTTGATGTGTGGGAATCGCTGGTACTATCCCTCGAAGGAGCAAAATATTTTGTATCATTCGTCGATGATTACTCTAAGAGATTGTTGGTATACCCTATAAAAAAGAAGTCAAATGTGTTTTCACAGTTCAAGGAATTCAAAGCACAAGTAGAACTTGAAACTGGGAAAATAATTAAGTGTTTGAGGACAGATAACGAAGAAAAATATGTAGATGGAAAATTTTTAGCATTTTGTAAGCAAGAGGGTATCACCAGACAATTTTTTATCCCACATACGCCTCAGTAAAATGGTATAGCAAAGCGGATGAATAGAACTCTCCTAGAAATAACTAGAGTTATGTTGCGAACAGCTGAAGTAGCCAAGTCTTTTTGGGCAGAAGCGGTTAAAACTGTCTGCTATGTTATAAATCGGCCACCATCAACCACCATTGGTTTGAGCACACTAATGGAGTTATGGAAAGGTAAATCAGTTGATTATTCATCCTTACATACACAATTACAGAATTCGAAAATACAATTTACATTCAATCAGTTTTGAGAAAAGAATTATGAGCAAGGCAACAGAGATATTTTACACCCTCTGAGAAATCCCTCTTCTCTACTGCCTTCTGTGTTTTCATTGTTAATCACACTTGTTCTTGGAGATTGACATTCTACAGGCTTCTACAATTTGTTGTCTCCATTACCCAGGTGTGACTGTTCTTATCTTACTACTTCATCCTTTGTGGGTTTAGGAGGTGTTTTCATCCCTTTGATTTGTTCAGGGAGGTGTTCATCCCTAGTGTGATTCTAGGGAGGTGTTCATCCTTAGTGGGATTCTAAGGAGGTGTTTTTCATCCTTTGATTTATTCAGAGGAGGTGTTCATCCCTAGTGGGATTCTAGGGAGGTGTTCATCCTCAGTGGATTTCTAAGAAGGTGATTGTCATTTTAATTAGTTTACTTTTTACTGGTTCTTCTGCTGAGTTGATTGTAATTTGTAAACTGAATTTGAAAGATAGTGAATTGGGAGTCACTCTTGTGTTAAAAGTTGAAAGATTGTAATTTCTAAGATGCCATTTGTCTAAAAAGTTGTATCAGAGCTTGGTTAGATAAGATATTTCTAAACAATATGTCAAGATGTCTATGCAGAATTAGGTTTTTAGGGAAGGAGCCTCAATAAATAGACCACCATTATTTGAAGGAGAAGACTATCAATTTTGGAAAGCAAGAATGGAAATATTTTTACAAACACTAGATTATGGTGTTTGGGATGTTGTACTCAATGGTCCCTACATTCCGATGAGAACAACGGAGTCTAGAGTTGTTCCTAAGACTTTTGATCAATGGACGCCGGATGAAAACTGAAAGTGATGAAGATCTTATTGAATTTCTTTGGCAAAGATCTTATTGATTTGATGAAGTAAAAAATGAAGTCAAAGGCTACTTTGTGGCAGTCAAATGTCACTTAGATAAAAGGGTAGTGGGATTAGTGAGTCTGCATCTCTGCTTAGGTATAATCATTTTTATCTCTCTGCTGCATGAGGTTTCTTCATTTAAAAGATTTTGCAAATGCCTCTAAAAAATGTTTAAACGGTTAAAAACAAAG